TTAGGGGTTTAGGGGTTAGGGTCTAAATAACTAGCAATCGGCTGGCTTTATCGTCCATCATAATGATAATAATTATACACTACCCCAAACTTTGTTCCAATACTCCAATTAATACGGCCCTCCCCCAATTAGCATCTTGCTTCGCTGGCTCCACGAGTTTTGGACGTTGTACGCCACCTTGCTGGTACGGCTGGCCACATGCGACAACTCGCCACCCTGAACCCTAAACCCTATAAAGCCTAAAGCCTGTACTTGTGTACGGGTGCGTGTTGCTTTGAAACCCGAAACATGTATCCTCTACAGCGACTCTCCTAAAGCCCTATCCACCCTTGTAAGATCCAGGCATGCCCTACCCATAGGCTCCTTTATAGTTCCTTTTCGAAATCTGTGCTCTACATTTACCCCCAAAAAAAAACTACTATGGAGCCGATGGGTAAACCTTAAACCCTAAACCCGTGGGTTTGGGTCCAGGCAGGCTCGGTTTAGGGTTTTGGATTTTGGAGTTTGGGTTTGGGGTTTTCGGATTTAGGGTTTGGGGTTTGGGATTTAGGGTTTATGGGCTTTGGGGATTTAGGGTTTTGGGGTTTAGGATTTAGGGTTTATGGGTTTTGGGGCACAGTCGGAAACTGCCGCCACGACGCCCTTGGGCACGCGCACTTGTAGGAGACCCGGGACTCAGGAACAAAAGCCGTCTCTCAACAGACTCGGTATAGACCCTACCTAATGTATGGGGCCTAAATAATTGCCAATACTATTTGCGGGGTTCCTTATTATAAATATAATATAATCAGCCCTAAACCCTAAACCCTAAACCCTAAACCCTAATATAATCAGCCGCAACACCCTATTCTAAGTATTAAGGCTCCCCATATCAAAACCTCTGGGATATCGTACATGTTCCCATAAATTGGTCTTAAGAGGATCTTGTGAACGCTAAGCCCTAAACCCTAAACCCTACGGTTTTTGTTGGAGCTCTGTAAGAGCTACAGGGGCATTCTGGGGCCTCTTTTGGGGGTGTTGGAGGTTTTGGAGGTTTTTGGTAGGGCTTTTCAATACTGACAGGGGCGTTTTCGGACAGTAAAATTTTAATAGGGGCCGTAATAATCAGAATAGGGTTTTGTGGGGCTATTGTACTATAACTATAACTGTAAAAAGGAACCCCCAAAATTGGTAATTATTGAAACCCTACAGTAGGGCTTAGGGTTTTTTTGGGTCTCTTCTGGGCTCTGCACCTATAACTTGAACTGAAGCCCTGCCATGTCTGGCTATTATGGGTTCCAAGTGACCTATCCCTACCGCAGACTTGGCCATCACTGGCACCAGGGTCTCAAGGGCGACATGAGAAAGGCGAAAGCAGAAGAGGTGCAGTAACTACCTCTCCCAAAGAGATCGTGCGTAGACATCACAGGCTGACCTAAGCCCTGGAGGACATCCTTAAACCTTAAACCGTCGCTACGGTGACTTGGTTCTATGCCTGACCAACACTGTCAGTCGACCCAGAAAAGCCAGCATAATCATCAGAGCGGGAAAATGTAGGAAACCTGACCTAAACGCAAAGCTTTGAATCCCCAACTTCTAAGCCCTGCGCCCTATCAGCAGCATGAGCCTTATAAAGTATAAAGCATAGACCGAAAAGAACTTACATTGCTCCCGTTGGCGCCCCTCATTGCCAGAAGCTTAACCCATTTGCAACATTTTGCAACGGTGTCGTGATATTCATAATTTGATGTATAATATTCCTTCATCGTGCCCGCACGAATATCCTACAACCTACTACAACACACCCCACCACCCCATTCTAGTTAGTAAGTGGGTAGTTCTCTAAATTAGGGTCCTGTTTAGGTCCGCAATATATATATATATATATTGTACGGCACCCTTATAAAAGGACCCCAAAAGGGACCCTATTTTAGCAATGGTCGTTCAGCGACAGCCTTTGCGAACGGAGCTGATCCGGGCAGAGTTCCGGCAGATCTGTGGGATCCACCTCGTGGAGCAGACGCCTGGCCGTTTTTTTGGTTTAGGGTGTTAAGAATCTTGGACATGTTCAGGTGGGTAGTTACCGTTATAGGAGCCTTATTATAGAAGGTCTATATACCTTATAGAAGCCTTATAGAAGCCCTATAGACCCTAAACTCCCCACCTGTAGTTTCCTTTAATTTAGGGTGTCAGGGATGATGTGGACCATTCTCTACCTCAGGTGTAGCATTGCTCAAAGTACGTTGTAGTAAAGCCCTGAAGCCTTAAACCCTGCAGGACGAAGCCCTGAACCCTAAGCCCTCTGCAATATTGACAGTCGGAGGACTTTCTCAGCTCGCATCTACTTCGAGTTCCTCTTCCCTGACGCCAACATTGTTCCTGGCATTGCAGGTGGGTAGTTCTCTGAATTAGGGTCCTTCTTCAGTCTCAAAAATACTACTGCAGCCTTATAAAAAGGATCCTGACCGGGATCCTAAGTTAGAGAACTACTCAGGTGGAAGCGAAGATGCTCCGCTGAATCCGGATGGAACTCGCAAAGGCCTTCGGTTTTACACTGACGCTAGCTGGCAAGGGCTTTGGATTTAGGCTTTGCATAAACAGTCTTTTCTCCCTCTGCTGGTTGATGAACAGCCCTATACATAGCTGTGGGTCTTGTTGAAAAGCAACACGAAGGAACACATCTCATGGATGAATGCGATAGAGCCCCCTTCGGTGCTTACCGACAAGCTTACTCCAGACAACGACAGCATCCGCTGGGCCCTGGAAGTTCAGGGTACTTTCCTTGAGAAGTTTGAGTGCAACGACTTCCCGTTCGACACCCAAGCGCTGTCCGTAAGCATCGAGTTCGCCATGTCAAACGAAGGCCCATTTCCCATGGATTTGTCAATTGACCTTGCCGATGCTTGCGACGTGAACGCCAAGCACTTCGTTTGGGACAGCGAGTATGATCTGGGGACAAGAACAAAGCTTGTGACGGATGTTCGCCGCGTCTTGCAGACAAGGTCTTATCCAGATCTGACTTTCTCGTGCTATGTGACTAGGTACCAATTTGAGGAGAAATTCTGACTTGCTAATCGGCTTGATATCAAGCCCGAACTATAAACGTGTTTTGGTGGCTGTTCAAATCGACACATAGGTGAGGAGGAGACCATTCTTCTACACCGTAAACATTGTACTCCCAAACATGCTTCTGGCACTCTTGGCTGGGCTGCAATTCTTCATCCCAGTCGAAGACGTTGCTGGAAGGGCCAGCGTGTCGATGACCTTGCTGCTGGTATGTGCATCCTATTTCCACTACTCGGGATCCTTGACTCCCACGGTCGGGTACTTGACCCTGATGGATACACATTCGCTCTGGTGCATGTCCGTGGTCATTTCCATGGTTTTCTGGGTTGGAGTGGTGAGGACTCCTAAACCCAAGCCTATAAATCCTAACACCTAAACCCTAAACCCTAAACCCTGAACCCTAAACCCTAAACCCTAAACCCTAAACCCTAAACCCTAAACCCTGGAACCCCTGAACCCCAATCCCTGAACACCCGAGACTCCTAGCAAAGCCTAAGCCCTGAACTCCTTCAATCACAGACCCTAAATCTAAAACATCTAAACCCCGAACACGGTTTAGGGTTTAGGGTTTAGGGTTTAGGGTTTAGGGTTCACTCTACATCCCTTGCAGAAGCCCAAGACATGTGAGGATCTTCACATAGCCCTGAAAGGAAACCTAAAAAGAAGTCCAATTTCTTCTAGAACCCCGTATATACCGATACCTTAAATGAGCCCTACAAAATGGAATCCTAGCACCGCTATAACCTCGAAGGAGTTCCGAGTCGGAAGATCTGGAATACGTAGACAAAATGGCGCTCTATGGCTTCATGGTCGTTTGGCTCCTTATTCAGATCCTCGGTGGCACTTCAACTCCTAGGTCGTATTAGGGAGACCCCTTCTTGGAGGCCCAGGGGACTTAGTAAGCAGGTTATAAGTAGAGAGAAAGTACCCTAAATGGAGTTACCCAAATTATAACCCTACTTATAACCGACTTACTACTGTAAGTCCCCTGGGCCTCCAAGTTCAAGGGGACCCTTCTTAGCCCTACTTCTGGCTTTCTTAAAAAGGGAGACCTTGCTCACAGGGTCTATATCCCCAAGAGTCCCCCNNNNGGTCCTAACCATAAAACTAGGTACCTAGACCAAGGAAAACAATATGACCCTCTAGCTTGCTACTGGGGACCCTCCAACTACAGCCACGCGTCAACAACAAGCGTATGTTAACGTAGCATAAACCCCTACCCCCCCCCCCCCCCNNNTTGCGTGGAGCAAACCCTAAACCCTAAACCCTAAACCCTTCACTCAGGATCGTTTTCGTTCTGCGCTTCTCTTTTGCGTGGAGCAAACCCTAAACCCTAAACCCTAAACCCTAAACCCTTCACTCAGGATCGTCTTCGTTCTGCGCTTCTCTTTTGCGTGGAGCAAACCCTAAACCCTATAACCCTAAACCCTTCACTCAGGATCGTCTTCGTGCTGCGCTTTTCTTTTGCGTGGAGCAAGGCCTCCCGCGAGTTGGATGTCCCAGCGGTTCTGGGAGGAGCGGAAGCTCGCGAGAAGCTTCTGGCGGTGAACTCAATGAGCAGATTCTACCGGACCTCTGTGAGAGGCTATTCTTCCTTATAGCCCTTACCTTAGTAGTAGAGTACTATATAGGGGCCTTAATAATAATGATAATTAGAATAGGGTTTTGGAGCCCGCTGTACCATAATTATAATATGAACCCCCCAAAACTAGTATTGGTAATTATTTAGGCCCCTATAGTAGGCCCCTAAACCCTAAACCCCTATAGTCGGTCGCGTTCAACCATTTTGGGCTACTATAACCCATATCATAATCCCAAAGGCCCTTGATACTGGACATCTAGGTCACAGTCGCCCTTAGTAAGCTTGGCAGCCCACATAAATGAACCACCTATGACATGACATCCTCATCTGGGTTTCTGTGATGCTATGATGCCATATGGCCATATACCTTAAGAACCCAAAACCCACTTTTTGTAGGTTCTTATTATAAAACCCTAATATGGGGATTTATAGGGACCCTACAAAAAAGTAGGTTTTGGGTTCTTAAGGTATAATACCCTAAACCCTCACAGCCGAAAGCTTTAAAACCCGGAAAATCTGAACCCAACATACGACATCCCGAGCTGCTCCGCGGCTTAGGCTCCCAGGTCCCATGAACTCCCAAAATTCTGCTGGAAACATTTATCCCTAAAGTTTAGGGGGTTTAGGGTTTAGGGGTTTAGGGTTTAGGGTTTAGGGTTTAGGGGTTTAGGGTTTAGGGTTTAGGGGTTTAGGGTTTAGGGTTTAGGGTCCTAATTAGAATGCACTTTGTGCTGAAGCCGAAAATGCTTCTTGGCCAATGAGCCAGTCGCGCTGGGGCAAAACAAAGAGCTAAGACTGCTTTTCCTGGTGTGTCTCCGTGTGTCTGTGCGCTTGTTGCGTGTGTGTCTTTGCGTTTTTGCCTGCATAGTCCCAACCCTGAACCCTAAACCCTAAACCCTTTTTGCCTGAAGATATAGTCCCAACTCCCAACCCTAAAACCCGAAACCCCGAGCTCTAAACCCTAGCAAGCACCAAACCTCAAACCCGAAGCCCTGAACCTCAAGCCCGAAGCCCCAAGCCCCCAGACATTAACCCTATCACAGGCTCTCTACTAGTTTCTTGAGGATTTCTGAGGGATTTTTTGGGGGTTCTTTGCAGGGTTTCTTGCGGACTTTTCTTCCACCATATGTAGCGTGTCCGGGTTGTTGTTACAAAGCCCTCTACCTAGTTCCGTAGGTACCCCCAAAACCCTGTTGTAATGCTTCACGCTGCTAGATATATACAACTTACAAAAATAGATCCTTCCTAGACCCTCCATCTACCCTCTATGAGACCCTAAATACCCTTAATTTGGGACCATATACCCCTATTTGAGGGTAGTTGGAGGGTCCTGGTTGATAGCACCCTTGAAGGAACCCTGAAAGGATCCCTGAAACGACCCCTTAAAGGAAGCCCTGCTATATCCCTTGAAGGATCCCTTGAAGGACGCCTTAGGGTTTAGGGTTTAGGGTTTAGGGTTTAGGGTTTAGGGTTTAGGGTTTAGGGTTTAGGGTTTAGGGACTTTGAACCCGGATGAGCTACTCCTGATAGACTTATAGAAGCATGCTCAATACAAGTCTCATCGAACCCGGAAGAGCTACTCCTCTAGAGCCTTAGAGACTTATAGGGCTCGAAAATGTTCAATACAAGTCTCATAGAACCCTAAACCCTAAACCCTAACCCTTACAGATTCATAGAGCTCCTATGCCAAGATGCTAACCTTAAGCCCCATACGACACCTAGGGTTCAGGGGTTTAGGGTTTTGGGTTTGGGGTTTGGGGCAGGATTTAGGGTTTTGTGGTTTAGGGTTTAGGGTTTGGGATTTAGGGTAGGGTTTAGGGTTTTAGAGTTTAGGGTTTAGGGTTTGAGGTTTAGGGTTTAGGGTTTAGGATGCTAGCATGGAAGCCTAGCTAGTTACCAACATTATTCCTCAAGGATTAGGGGGGCCCAACACCCTATTCTGATTATTATTGTCCCTACACCATAGAACTCTTATAGGAACCCTGATAGATATCTTAAAGAACCCCTTTAAAGGACCCCTTAAACCCTATTCAATTTTTTGAGGTCCCTGGAACCCTAAACCCTACATCCTAAACCCTACAGCAAACCCTAAATTCAATTTAAGGTCCCTCGAACCCAAAGGCCTGAACCCTACAGTAAACCCTAAACCCTACCTAAAGCCTACCTACACCCTACCTAAACCCTAAACCCTAAACCTTAAACCCTAAACCCTACAGTAAACCCTACACCCTACCTTGACCCGGGAGCTGCTAAGATGCTACTGCCCGGGTTTCGACTATGACAACGGCGGCAGCCCATGCAGCGCCAAGGAGGACTTCGTCCAGCCGGGTGTCTCAGAGGGTTTTATTTTTGGGGGTTTAGGGTTTAAGGTTTAAGGCAGGATTTCAGGTTTAGGGCTTAGGGGTTTGGGATTCAGAGGTATAGGTTTTAGGGTTTTAGGGATTTCGGGTGTAGAAATTCAAGGCTTGGCGCTTAGGTTTTGGAGTTTCGGCTTTCCTAGACCCCCCAACTACCCTCGGTTATACCTTAAATACCCTAAACCTTAAACCCTAAACCTTAAACCCCTAAGCCATAAACCCTACCCTCCATTATATACCTTAAATACCCACGGTTACGGACCACAAGGGCTCCATTACCGGACACTTGGCGGGTCCTGCCTAAGGTCAGGCTTTAGGGCGGTTTAGGGTTTAGGGTTCTTTAGGGTTTGGGGTTTAGTGTTTAGATTTTTTGGGGTTTAGGGTTTAGGGTTTAGGGGTTTAGGGTATTGAAATGTCGGCTGGGGTTGAAGCTTTAGAAATTTTCGCGGCTTATGATGTCGGGGTTCAGGAGGCTGATGCGGTTTGAGTTTAGGGTGTTGAGAGCAACTATAGGGCTCAGGAATTAGTTCAGGTTTGGCTGCAGAGGTTTAGGG